AGTATAATTCAAATATAAATGTTCTGACCAATCTTCTAATAAAACAGGGAAATGTATGAGCGATTTCGAGCTTCATACAAAGGGAAGCCAGATATCCACACGAGACTCATGAGGAAGTACAAAGAGATTCCTAACTGGTGGTTTCATGTGATGCTTGTGCTGTCATTGGCTCTGTCTCTCGTGCTTTGCACATTCATGAAAGATCAAGTTCAATTGCCATGGTGGGGACTCCTCTTTTCAGCTGCGATGGCTTTGATCTTTACGCTCCCAATAAGCATAATAACAGCCACAACAAATCAGACGCCAGGACTGAATGTGATTACGGAATATGTAATGGGAATCGTATATCCCGGGAGACCAATAGCCAATGTGTGCTTTAAAACTTATGGATATATGAGCATGAGTCAAGCAGTTTCCTTTCTGAATGATTTTAAGCTAGGCCATTACATGAAGGTTCCACCAAGATCGATGTTTATAGTTCAGTTAGTTGGGACGATTATTGCTGGAACAATCAACACTGGGGTGGCTTGGTGGCTGCTGACGAGCATCAAGAACATATGCGATGATCAGTTACTTCCGGTGAATAGTCCATGGACGTGTCCTGGTGACCGTGTATTCTACGATGCATCTGTAATTTGGGGTTTGGTAGGACCAAAGCGTATATTTGGATCTCTCGGAAATTACAGTGCCCTTAACTGGTGCTTTCTCGGGGGTGCTTTAGCCCCCGTTGTCGTATGGCTGCTACACAAGGCATTTCCGAGTAAGGTATGGATAAAACTGATTAATATACCAGTACTTCTAGGAGCAACAGCTGCAATGCCTCCTGCTTCAACTTTGAACTTCAATAGCTGGATCCTTATCGGGGCAATATTCAATTTCTTTGTATTCCGATACAGGAAGACTTGGTGGCAGAGGTATAATTACATTCTTTCAGCAGCATTGGATGCTGGATTGGCATTCATGGGAGTCGTCTTGTACTTCAGCCTCGGAATAGAGAACGTGAGCATTTTGTGGTGGGGTGCAGACGGAGAGCATTGTAGTTTGGCTACATGTCCCACTGCCAAAGGAGTGGCTGTCGAAGGTTGCCCATTGCACTGATCGGTTGTCATTTTCATTTTGCTTTTTAAATTTAACGCTGAGTTCTCATTAATTTCATCTCTTTCCAATTTGGACATTTTCTTATAGATATTGAAATTTAACTCTTTCTACCTTCAGTAACAAATCGAATCATTCATACATCTCAATTTAGGAATGCATAAACAATTTATCAAATTATATCGACACATTCAGGTGAGCCCAAAACTTTTCCAAGCGCACACATTCCATAATACAAACAATTCATTGCTCGCTAACATTTCCTCAAATTGAGATAGATAAATGTTTTTTTGTCTCGGCCAAACCCACCAACTTAAAAATTGAGTACAAGAATTTCACTCCAAGTTCCACGTTAACACCATCTTTATCCGTTAATGCCAAGTTTATTAACCCAGTAGTTAAGTTGTTCAGAAACGCATTCTGAACCAGTGGAGCCATATGAAGTGAACTTTTTTACTGAATTTTCGACTCCAAGAAACTCGTAGACATCCTCA